GCTGTCCGTGGAACAGTCGGGTGTGCAGCAGTGCTGCAAGCTACAGGTGCTCCAGTGGTTGCATTCCCACGGGTGCCCTTGGAGCAGTTGCTCGTGCAGCAGTGCTGCTCAGGGCGGACATCTTGAGGTGCTGCAGTGGCTGCGGGCCAATGGGTGCCATGGGACGCGAACACATGTTGCGTTGCCGCAGAGTTTGGGCAATGGCATGTGTTTCAGTGGGCTCGCGCCAACGGCTGCCCGGAGGGGTGACGCGGTAGCGTGTGGCAGTCAGAGCAGGTGCAGTGCAATTACCGTCATGCTTCGCATCAGCTCGCACAATCCCTCAGTAGGTTAGAGGTTGATTCAGGTGCCAGCGCGCATGATGAGCAACTAATTGCGCATGCGACCTGACGTTCAGCGATTCAGCAAAATGGCCCATGTGCTCTCTCTTAAGTGCTTGCCCATGACCCCTTTCTTGCTAGTCAACTCCAGAGCCTCTTACAGGACTGCCGCAAGTCATTGAGCATTTGCAAATGTTGGCCCAAATAGCGCATCACAGTGCCTTAGCATATGCAGCGCATGTCAGGGCTGTCAATGCAAACCATGCACATCAAGGTTTTAGACAATTGCATCAGCACATTGATGCTCATCCCTGCAGCATACGTCCAGCGCGTCCACACTGTAGAGATCGCATGGCCAGCGCTGCACCCACAGACAGCGCAGTGTGTTGCATGTCATTGTAGTTGAGGGTACATACACTTTCAGACTGTCATACGACATGTAGATTCCTTACAGCTAGATGCCAATCATCTGGGCTTTTTCGCGCCCTGAGCGAGAATTAATAAAAAGTACATACACATGCAGCGCCATGCGTAGACTTGGCAGTCATGAACTGGTTGTCTGCGCATGCATTGCTTTACACGCCTGTGGACGTTTCTGCCATGGCATGAATAGCCTAATTTTGAAAGTACCTTGTTGGTAGTCGTCAAAGTCACCAGCCGACTCTCTCATCGATCACTGTGCATGCGATCATATGTGGGCAGAACTGTTCTGACTTGATCCTAATGTGGACATTTGATATGGCAGATGGAACAGGCGCGAATGGCACTGAACAGGATTCGCGTTATGCTGTCGTGCAAATCATGTTACACATGCGTAGACTATGCCACCAGTGTTGTTGCTGCCCGCTGCTCTACTCTACGGTGTGGCGGCTCGACCTCTATGAGCAAATTGAATGGAGCATGAGAGTGAATGGCGTCCATGTTGGCCTCGGGGACTTGTCATGAGGCTGGGCAAGGTCAACTTTTTAAAACAGTCCTTGAAGTTCGCAGTTGAAGTTCACTTGAGTTTTTTCTTCAGTCACGTCACCAGCGACAGTACGCCAGTAATATTGTACGTTTCAATTCGCCACCAGCAGTCCTGCCGAGGCAGCATCAGCGCTAGTCATTGCCTCCGCAACGATCAACATCAACAGATGCCGCAAACGAGGCGTGAGGAGGAGGGCGGCGGAAGGGCACCCCATGCTCATTCCTGCGCTCGCTGAGTGCATCGCGGCGTTCCTGCCTCCCTCGCTCATGGTAAGAAGCACATGCGTCGCTCTTCGCAGTGCGGCCGAGAAGGTGCACAAGCCTACTATGATGCGAGGTCTTCCACACGAAGCACTGGGTTACTTTGGTGAAGGACGCTGTTGTCAGCGCCAGCCTTACCCATTGGGCGTTGCAGAATGACGTGCTACCGGACATGATCCTGCAAGCGTGCATGCGCTGCGGCAAACCACCAGGATTGCGCCATCTACCCACTCCGTACACCATGCGGTTATCGGCAAAGCACGCATCGCAGGCTGCCAAAGGCGGACATCTGCCCTTGCTGCAGTGGCTGCGACATAACGGGTGCCGTTGGGACAGCGATACCTGCAGCAGCGCTGCACGCCATGGGCACCTTGCGGTGCTGCAGTGGGCGTGCGCCAACGGCTGTGCCTGGTGCGACAAAACGTGCAGCGAAGCCGCCAAGGGAGGTCACATGGCCGTGTTGCAGTGGGCGCGTGCACACGGCTGCCCATGGAAGTCGACCACGTGCCGGGAAGCCGCTGCGCATGGGCACCTCGCGATGTTGCAGTGGGCGCGGGAGAATGGCTGTCCGTGGGACGCCGGGGTGTGCGCGGGCGCTGCGGCGACAGGGCGGCTGGAGATGCTGCAGTGGCTCCGCGCCAACGGGTGCCCGTGGGATATGTACACATGCCACAGGGCCGCAGAGCACGAGCACCTGGAGGTGCTTCAGTGAGCGCATAGACATGGGTGCCATGTGGACCGCTGGGTGTTCATGTTGCGAAGGGGCATCAACACAGGCACGTGCTGCAATGGCTGCGCGCCAACGGCTGCCCGGAGCGCTGAGGCGGTGGCGCGTGCAGTCAGAGCAGGTACAGTGCAAGCAATGCGACTTGTTGCAGCAACAGCTCGGACAGTTCTACAGTTCGGGTAGAAGTTGATTCAGATGTCAGCGTGCGGACAATGAGCATGTAGATGTGCATGCAGAACTACAGCGAGTCGGCAAGAGTTATATTGCAATAAAGGGCTCTGACTGTTCGCTTTTAGTTTTACACATGGACAAGCCAAGCCACTAAAGGCCGCTATGAAGACAAGATGATACTGTGAGATGGCTCATGTGCTCTCTTCATGTGCTGCTTGCTGCATGTCTCCTTGTGATGCCGAATGCTGCAAATTGTTGTTCTGAAAGCCGGCTGCAGTGTTGCCACAGAACAGCTGAGCATTTGAAGAGGGTATGACCGTGTCTCAACGAACGCAGCGCATGTCAGAGCTGTCAATTCAAACAATGCACACCTGTTTTTCATGTCAATTTTATCACCACATCAACGCTCATCCCTGCGCAACTACACTTGCGCGAGGGGCGAATGCTTCGCGCTGCTTGAAAATGCAAGTGTTTGAATTTTCTAGGCCCGCCACCAGATGGCTTATTTTATCGATCACTGTGCTTGCCATCATTGTGACATGGTCACATGTGACCACGTTGCAAGGCGAATGGCATGGGCGTGCAGGGCACTGAGCAGGAACAGGTAGTGCTGAGATGGACATTCGTGCAATCCATTGTCATATTCATCTCATCTGCCACCTGACCGATGGTATGCTGCCTGCTGCTCTACTGGCGATCTCAATTAGCAGGGTGCGATGTTGACAGTGTGAATATAGACATGCGTACAGCCGTCATCATGTACATTGGTGCCTCATGACAAAGCTTGACAGGCCCGAGGGCATCCATGGTTGTCAAGATCTGCAAAGGCAAGCCTGCACATCTGTACAAACAACACTTACATTACAGTACATACATTACAGCTCGTTAGCACCGAGAGGTGCGGCAGCACTCGCGGTGGCGCTGATGGTGGCGAGGGTGCATCAGGCAGCAAGGGGATGGGAGATGCTGGCTGTGAGCAGGAGCTGCGGAGTCGCGTGTGGTGAGGATACGGCTTTGGGCAGCAGCAGGGGATATTGGAACATGGGGATACGGATAGCATCAGGGCACACTGTAGATCGTTTGCTTGAACACGCAAGAAAGAGAACCTCGGCCAGGCACGTCAGCGGCGTGCTTAGGCAAGGAATCGAGGACCGGGCGCCTCTGGCCCAAATGTATACTAGAGGCATAACCGCGGTCCTCCGGCGTTTTCGCTCAAGAGATGGAGACATCGGCTACGATAGGTGTGGCTCAGACTGGGTGCCGCTGTGTCTGCCCCCCATGAGTCTAGTACAAGCCTGCAACGCAGGGCTCTAAGGGCCCGTCCGATTTTAGTTTTTTGCATTCTTATCCAACGCATCAAGCCCACCTTGGGGCTGCTATAAATACAAGATCATAAGTACATAATAAAAGTACACAAGCGTCCCAAGCTCGTTAACGCCGAAAGGCGTGGCAGCGAATGCGGCTGGTTTGGTGGGTGGGCTGGGCTGCAGGGCTTGCAGGAGCTAGCACCAGCGGCCCTCAGGTGATGCCAGCGTGCGTAGCCCCTTCGAGAGAACTTCAAACGTGTGGTGGTGTCTCGGAAGCCCTGGCTGGCGTGCGGAGGAGGGACAGGCAGCGGCTTGGCGTGCTTGGAGAGCAAGCGGAGTCGGCTGCACACCACGGCACCAACCACAAGTTACTCGCAGCGGTAAATGGCAATATCTTGTCAGGCTTGCAGCCTGCGGTGAGCCGTGACCTCGCTCATCAAGGAGGCGATGCTTTACTTAGTTATATAGCCTTTCTCTCTAGCGTCAGCGCCTGGCGCCCAGTGACTCCCTCTGCTTATCTCTATGATATCGGGGTTCACGTAGATAGCCACAATCTCCAGTTCAGGGCCCATCATGGTGACCTTGGCCTGCATGAAAACTTTGAGATGGAGTCTGCGTGGAGCTGGGTGGCCCTTAGAAGGGTCTGTCTGTGGGGGGAGAGTCTTGCAGCTTTGTTTGGTATCCCTGCTAGTGTGTGGGGGACAGTCGCTTGCGGATGCTTTGTTGGGGGTGATATGGGAGGCCCGGTGAACCACCGTCCCGCTCATCAAGGAGGCGATGCTTTGCTTAGTTATATAGCCTTTCTTTCTAGCGCCAGCGCCTGGCGCCCAGTGACTCCCTCTGCTTATCTTTATGATATCGGGGTTCACGTAGATAGCCACAATCTCCAGTTCAGGGCCCATTATGGTGACCTTGGCCTGCATGAAAACTTTGAGATGGAGTCTGCGTGGAGCTGGGTGGCCCTAAGACGGGTCTGTCTGTGGGGGGAGAGTCTTGTAGCTTTGTTTGGTATCCCTGCTAGTATGTGGGGGACAGTCGCTTGCGGATGCTTTGTTGGGGGTGATGTGGGGGGCGGGGTGTGGCGTGCAAGCTTTGCATGCTACATCCAAGAGTGAGAACAAGGCGACACACCTACAACATGGCATTTCCACAGCCACAAGTGGAATATAATAAAAGTACATACACAGTATCACCCGGGTCTGGAGGGGTGGGAAAAAAGAGAAGTTGCGACGAGGGCAAAGAGAAGCTTGACTTGGCCGGGAATCGAACCCGGGTCGAATGCATGGCAAGCATCCATTCTGCCATTGAACCACCAAGCCTTTTTTGTGTTCATGCTTAAAGCTGTGATTTTGAGTGTCTCACGCACATACACAGACTAAAAAAGTTGTTCTGTACTTGTGTCAGCGATTACTTGGGCCTCCCAACCCGCAATACCTCCAGTTGCTCTACAGCCTCTGTGCTTGGCAGTAGTGAGCACTCAGGTGATGGTCACGCACGTGAACAATAATTGAAATGGCTTGGTGGTTCAGTAATCATGCTGGTAGCCTAAGGTGTGCCAAGGTGGGCGGTTGGGGATCCATGAGTCTGCATATGCGGGTCAGATATACTCGGCAGCACGCACTTGAGCAGGAATAAACCTTATTCTCGGATGTTTATTCTCGCGTGCATGTTGTGCAGTACTTGGCTTCCGCGGCTCCGAAAGAGCTGGTATGCAGCGGCGCGGCAAATAAAATGGTCAACAGAGTCGCCTTGAAAGAAGGGTGCAGTTCAAATCATGGTCAATATGCTGACGAAGCACGGTCATCAACTGCCAAGTATTACTACTCGAAAACGTTGCCCCGACCCACAACAAAGTATGCGTGGCACCTCTGTTTACAAGTTGTTGCAGAGAGTGCAGTGGTCTTGTTGGATTGTGACAATTTCTCACATGCATCTATGTCCGACTGCGCACTACTGCAGCAGTGCCATATGCAGGCCACCACCAACACGACACAGCCCTCGCCATCTTGCCTACCAACTCTGCGGATGCATGCAGACACCAACTACAATCTGGTGAAGCAGTGCTGATGCTGGTGAAGTGCATGCGTGACCAGGCAATGGCGATTGCAACAGCGCAGAGAGAGGCACAGTTGGATTTGCAGCTCATCCTCGTCATGCAAGTGTGAATTCTGTTGCAACTGCCGCCGCACTCCAAACCTACACTCCCAGGACCGGATCGGCTCCTGCCGCCAGTCTGATCTCCAGGCCGCCCGTAACAAGGTACTCGGCGCCGGACGCGACAAGGAAAGCGGCCGTGAGCCCCCCGACCAGGCGCTGACCAGAACCACGAAGCACACGTTGATCGCTGTGCGCCATTTTTTTTATTCGTGCTTAGAGGCGCGATGTTGAGTAGCTGACCCACATATACAGGGGTATTATGCTGTACATGCATGGCATTGCTGCAGCAGTTTTATTCGTGCTTAGAGGGGCGATGTTGATTATTCAACCCACATATCATACAGAGACTCAAACACCCCCAACACCAACGTGGATCCACCTAGCTACATACCAGCATGATCACTGAACCATCAAGCCGATTTGTTTTTTATTCGTGCTTAGAGGCGCGATGTTGAGTATCTGACCCACTAGCGATTGCCCTACCCAGCTCGAGTGCTCCGTGGATCCAGTAGCTCTCCAGCTTTGCATGCGCATGCGCATGCGCAGTACTGCTCGCGATCATGATCAGTGCCTGGAAGGGCATCATACTCGCAGAGTACTGAGTAGCCATGATCGTGTCGGGGTGGCTTTGGCTGACACCGCCCGTGTGGTAGACGGAACGCGGCATGTCACCAACTTCACCTGCAGGTGCTTTCTTTAACCGCCGACTCAGAAATCAGAGGCAGGACCGCTCACTGGAAGAGCACACGCATAGTCTCGACGCCGCACTCCGCAGAGAGGCTGAGTTTGACCCTTGCATAGATTCAGCACCATCGGCAGCGCGCCGCAACACACACAGGGCCCATTGTTCTATCAGGCGGAGGCCAGATGGATTTCTCGCAGCGCCTCATGGCAGACCTTCGCCAAAAGCCAGCAGGCCGGGGCCAGACTTTGACAGCAGACAGCAGTGGCCGCACAGGCGACACCAGCAGTGTATGTACACAACTTGAAGACTGAACTTCGGAACATGAGGGCACTGACACATCATAAGCCTATTGATTTAGCAAGTACTTCAATTAGATACATCAAACCGTGTCAGCAACAAGCAAAATGCTGCGGTGTTGGGTTAGAGTGCACAATGTGGCCTGCCAGCTGCTTGCAGGCACTACATATTATGCTACGAACTGAAGTCGCGCATGCCAGCATCAAAAATGTGTTTGAAGCAACATCATCATGCATGAGCAGGACAAGCACACACACGCGCCTTTTCAGTACGCACGAACTTCCTGATTGTAGTCTTGCTATTGTATATCTGGCTTGTGCATGTGTGCAGACTCAAACACCCCCAAGCACCTTGGCTACACCAACGTGAATCCTCAAGCTAGCTACCAACATGATCACTGAACCACCCAAGCCCAAAACCTCTATCAAGTGCGTTCTTCATCATTCGACCACAACCTCGGAGTCCGTGTGAGGGTTCAAACACCCCCAACAACATGTGGAACACCCACCCATAAGGTATATAGGCGAAGCGCTACTTACTCGACCCACCAAGCCTGTATCCTCTTTTTGGTACCTACCTGTTTCACTACCTGAGGTCTGCACAGCGTCATCCCAAGAGACTTTGGCTACATGGAACATGTGGATCAAAGGTAGCTACCTTGGAAACACCACTATTGGCCCGAGCCTCTATTGGACGTATTTTGCGACATCTGCGCGACAGCTCAGACACCCCAAGGACCTTGGCAAGGCCGAAATGTGGATGGAGCTACATATGTGAGCAAGCTGGCCTCCATATCGTCAGGGTGGGCGTGCTGGACCTGAGTACCCCAGTGATCACCACACGTAGTGTGCTCTTGGAAGTGTGAAAGCGTGCAGTACTTGTTTACTAGCGAACCTACCACCGTGCCAGAGGTGAAAACCAAGCGACCCCCACACAGACTCAAGACTACTGCAGCGCTAGTGCATATATGCTGCTACAAGTGATCATGATGCATTGAGAACCACAACGCAACACACCGTATGATCTCAGTGCTCAGCAGAAATGTCACTGTGCTGGTGAGCTGTGAGTTGTCATGAAGCTAACGTGCATGGCATGCATCGACAGCTAGCTCCTCAGGTGCAGTACGTGCCCCAAGTCACCTACTGTACTACGCATCTCGTGACCCATGCAAGCTCAGCTAAACGTGATGTGCGGCTCAGGAAAGTTCGAAAAACAAAATAGCAGCGTGCAGCATCACACGGGGACACGGGGCAAGCAGCACGCTCTGCAGGGAGAGCTCGTAAGTCGGTTACCTTGCTGATGGGTTGAAGGTCTGCATGCACATATAATTACTTGCTCACAATCCGCGCCTTGGCATTCAAGTCTACTTCTACCCTGCCAAGTCCTGTCATTGAAGCACTGTCCGAACTCATGCGAGGCATCTTGCACAGCATCTACTCTGACTGCACACGCCACTGCCTCACCACTCCGGGCAGCCATTGGCGCGCGCCCACTGCAGCACATCGAGGTGCCTGTGTGCTGCGGCCATGAAGCATGTGTCCCCGCTCCACGGACACCCGCGGTGCCGCAGCCATTGCAGCACCTCGAGATGGCCACCCTCGGCAGCAGCGCTGCATGATGAGAAGTCCCAGGGGCACTCGTTGGCATGCAACCACTGGAGCACCTCGAAATGTCCCCCGCGAGCGGCACTGCTGCATGACCAGCTGTTCCAAGGACAGCCATTTGCTCGCGCCCATTGCAACACCGCAAGGTGCCCGTACATTGCGGCGGCGCCGCAGGTGGTTCAGCTCCACGGACAGGCGTGTGCATGCGCCCACTGCAACACAGCCATGTGCCCTCCCTGCGCAGCTGCGCAGCAGGTGTTCTCGCACCAAGCGCAGCCGTTTGCTTGCGCCCACCGCAACACCCCAAGGTGCCCGTAGCGTGCAGCAGAGCTGCAAGTGCTGCTGTTCCAAGGGCAATTGTTCTGTCGCAGCCACTGCAGCATGGGCAAATGTCCGCCTCCGGCAGCCAGCGATGCGTGCTCCGCCAATAACGGCAGGTCGCAGAGGGTGCGTACAAGCTGCAGGCCCATGATATAGCCGCAGCGTATGCACGCTCCCAGGGCCATGGACAGCAACATGTTATTCTCCAATGCCCAGCGGATGAGGCTGGTGCTAGCGACAGCATCCTCCGCCAAAGTGGCCCAGAGCTTACGCGGCAGCTGATTGACGACATCGGCCGCAGTGCGAAAAGCAACGCAGGTAGTCCTGACCCTGAGCGAGGGAGGCAGGAAAGCTACGACGTGCTGAGCGAGCACAGGAGTGATTATCGGGTGCTCCGCCGCCGCCGCCTTTCTCCTCATGGCCCTGGTTAGCGTCATTGAATTTTTGCTGATCGTCTGTGCACACACGGATGACTAGCGCTGATACCGCCTCGAGTGCTCCCGTTTTGTGTCGCCAACACCACAAACTTCAACTGCAAGTCTTAAGCTCTGTGAAGTTTGACGTTGCCGTGAAATACACACTCGGTAGTGGCAGCCTAAGTGGATACTGCCGCCGCCGCATTGACAGCTGTTCCGTTAGCGCTGTCCCCAATATGCAGCCCAAGGTGCAGGCGGTCGTCAACTCACAGCTGGCCGCCCTGAAGCAGCTGGATGCTGATGTCTTCGAGTACGTCGGGAGCATGCTGGCGGACGTGGAGAGCCACGATTGCGATGAGGAGACTCTGCAGGAGACAGTGGGACCATTTTTGCTGAGCAGCGGCATGTTGGAAGACGAGAGCGAGGTTGAGGCGAAGATCAGCGAGCTGGCTGAAGCTTTAAGGGTGGCACTGGGGCTGGCGAATGGTGGATCCAAGAAGCGGTAAGTGTGCAAGGTCTGCACGCGCTGATGAATTATATCGCCGCAGCCTCTCAATTTGCCTGCCCTTCATCATGGGAGGTGCGCAGACATGAGCTGCTCATGAGCTGTTTCTACAAGAACGGGTTTGTACTTGAATGAGATGAGCACAGACGACGCTGCATGTGTCAATCATGTCTAAGAACACTTGCCAATGAAGCGCAGCATCACCAGTCGTGGGCTTTAACACCATCTTTGAAGTCGAGACAAGGTTTGCTTCATTGGCCTACGATCTGGACAGCTTTGTATGCTCTCGGTGTGATGTGGGGCACTCGTCCCCTGCTGGATATGGACAATGCAG